ATAATCTCAAAATTTCTATTAAGTAGGGTGACCACATGTTATCACTTTTTCTTTTAATTACAACTAAAAACCGTTGAAAAACTTAAAATTCAATTAAAAATATTATTGATAATATTTCTATTAAAATGATTTAGATTTCCCCAAACGTCTTCAACACATGATCTTAAGAGGTAGAATAGACAATTTTATTAATATTCTATTTTTTGTCATAAATATAATATACATTTCATTATAAATTTACTTTATTTACATATGGTCACCCTACTTAATAGAAATTATATTATTGTTTGGAATAATTTTCCCGCTTTTTATCTTTAAAATAAAACTAAGTTTATTAAAATCGTACGAGAGGTTATCAAATAGCAGCATGATTACTTCATCCCTCGATGGCTAAACACCCGTTAGTTTGTAATATTATTAATGATTAGATTATATTGCAATACATTTCTATCGCTCATTATTACATATTTATTATCATGTCGCATTAAATATGGATATAAACTTCCACTTTGATCTAGGACATAATTAAATTTGATGTTACTATTAAGTGAATTGACCATGTCCTGTAAATTTAAAAATAAAACAATATAAATAAAATAAACATAATATTTAGAGCAAGCCATATTACTCCAATTATTTAATAAATGTTGTTAAATAAATAAAATTACTAACTAGTTAGTAAACATTTATAAATAATGATTAATTACCAAAATATTAGACAAAATACCGTTTTTAGCAACAATTTTTATCCCACTTTTGTATTGACTTTCAATCAATTGATCGATGCTTTCAATCCTATGCTCCACAGGAACTGTCATTAAAGAATATATTGTACCCGAATATGATATTTGTAAAACTATTGCCATTATGATCCAGGTGGAAAATATTATGTTATTTGGATATTTGTTTATTAATTTTGAAAAATTTTGTCGTAAGTAAATTGTAAATATGTTCCAACATAACGTATATTTATTATTAGATTTATAGATAGTATTTGTAGTGAATATTATGACAATTAAATTATGAACATTATGGGACAAAACAACAATAATAAATCAATNTGCTTATCAATTTAAAGATGGTATTGATATTATGCTTTTGGATTCAATGAGCAAATATTATAATTTAAGTTAAGAGTCATAACTTATGATATTGAATATTGCAACAAATTGTGGAAATGGGTTGTCGTCGGCAATGGAGACGTGAATGATATCTCATTCATATCATAAGGATATGTAAAATCAATGACACTATTTCTCTGTGCATTCATTGTTAAATGTACGGCAATATCCGCTTCCTATAAATAAAATACAATTTATGAGTATTTACCAAATTATTATATCATGTACAATATTTTATTTTACCTTATTTATTAATTGTCTCATTACACCAGACCATGTGTTATTAATGCCGTTGATTCCCCAACTCTGATTGCAATATTCAATATCATAAGTTATGACTCTTAACTTAAATTATAATATTTGCTCATTGAATCCAAAAGCATAATATCAATACCATCTTTAAATTGATAAGCATTTTTACCTGTATCATATATTAGACTTATATAAGGTTCAATCTATAAATTGTAAAGTTCATTTAGTAATCTAGTAATGTAAATTTAATTTACAAATAATACATTGTTTGTGGCCAATCTAAGTGTTTGATCACGAATGTTATGCATTATAACTTATTGTTAATTATGATAATATTTAACACGGTTTAAATAAATATTTTGTACTAAGTTATGCCCCATTTACTAATGCCTTGGTTAACAATGACCCAATTGATTTATTATTGTTGTTTTGTCCCATAATGTTCATAATTTAATTGTCATATTTATTACTTATTTTATTGTATTGTATTGCATGTGACATAAAAATGATTTATTTGTTAGAATTTTTACAAATATAATATTATTATATTATAATTATATTATAATATAATCTAATCTATCATTTTTAGATTTATATTGAATTGATATGCCTTTGTTAATATTAAATTGTACTTTAAAATCTATTATATTTACTAATATTCTTTATTTAAAAACAATTAAATCTTTCTTTTCAAAAAATCATAACTATTTAGAATACAAAACAATTAAATTTATACAATACATTTATTGAGCTAGAAAAATGTTTATTTAAAGTTATAAAATAAAAATATAAAATATAACTAGATTTTAATAACGCAAAGAAATTAGTATTATTTCACATTAAAAGTTTAAACTAATATATTTAATCAAACTCATTATTAAATTATTTATAATAAAATTGTAATTTCAGCAAAATCTACTTAAATCGCTTTTCAATGCCTACGACAACACTCTTGGCTACGCAAAGGTTGGCCACCGTTGGGAACTGCAGGGGAACTGCCGTTTGCTTAGATCTCACAAACCGGTAGCGCCTTATAATATGGCTTAGAGTCAGCTTAACCTCCATTAAGCCAAACCTCATACCCACGCAATTGCGAGGGCCGGCGCCAAACGGCAGATACGTATACGGAATTAACTTATGCCTATTCTGGGGCATCCATCGATCAGGGTTAAATCTGTCGGCATTTTCATAATACAACTCCGAGTGATGTATGGCATAGACGGGGAACTCAACGTCCTGTCCCTTGGATATGGTAATCCCGGTGTCGGCCAACCGGTAGTCTTGCTTAGCCTTACGATCCAAGCGGAGCACCGGTGGGTACAGGCGTAGCGTTTCTGTGACCACGGCGTCCAGGAATGGCAGTCGTGACAACTGGTCGTAACCAATCTCGCCGTCCGCGTCAAAGGCGGCGTTCACCTCGTCGTACAGCCGGTCCTGGAAGTGGGGGCTGAGCGCCAACTCGTAGGAGGCGTAGCCCAGAGTCGAGGCGGTCGTCTCGGAGCCGGCGATGAAGAATATCCAGCCCTGCGCTGAGATTTCGTCGATTGTCAGCTTTTTGTTGCCATAATTGCCGGCAAACGTCCGCTTCTCCACCTCCAGCTCTTCTTTGCCTAAAAACACACAAACAATGAGACAATCAATACATTTACACATCAAGACAACAAAGTTTGCAAGCAATTTGGCTAAATTGTAGACTAAACACTATTTGATTAAAAAATTAATTAATAATGATCAAATAGTTGGTAAATAAGGAGGTGGAGGGTGGCGGTAAGTTAAAGGTAAATTTTAAATAAATTATACCATTATATTGAACAGTGTAATATAAATTACTCAAATAAAAAACATAAATCACTTCTCGTAGACTTAACATTAACCATGTTAACATTAGGTCAATAAACTACAGTGTTATAAAATTATGCTTAAAACAAACAGCTCTCTCGCGCTCAGCTAACCTTCGTTCACGTGATGGGCCTCGACTGAGTCGCCCTCGCGCTCATCCGGGCCGCCCTCTGCCGCCCCATCGGCGCCACTCTTGGCCTCGGCGTCGACCAGTAGTTGTACGAAATCGTTGTACACTTTGCCGGTATTGCCCTCACGTTTCCTGCGTTCGACAATTTGTTTCGTCAGATTCAGGAAAAACTGATTCGACTCCTCATTGCCGGCGAACTTAAGGCCCAGCAGTTTCTTCACCGGTAGGGGCAACACAAACAGGCCCAACATTTTCCAAAATTTAAACTCGGTCATTCCCTGGGCGTGGCGCACAAAAGTGCTCCGGGTGTCTTTCAGGGCGTTGGCATCGGTGGCAAAAGCGCACCGTCCGATTACGTTCATGGTCAACTTTTGGTACATGTCTTTTACGTTAAGGTCCCTACCCTGGGTGGCGTACACCTCTAGTACGTCTAGGTAATCGCCGAGACATTCCCTGACCATTGGAAACATTTTGCGCATTTTGCCCGACGTGAATGTGGGGCTCACTATTGTGCGCAACCGTTTCCAGTCGTCGCCCGACGCGTGAAACACGTTTTTGAAGAGCACCGGGTGTTGATAGGGACGGGTCTTACGGTCCGAGAATAGATGGAAATCTTTTACCATAATCTGTT